GTGAGCTTATCGTCGCTCCTCGTGAGCTTATCGTCGCTCCTCGTGAGCTTATCGTCGCTCCTCGTGAGCTTATCGTCGCTCCTCGTGAGCTTATCGTCACTCTTTATTGAGTTTATCGTCGCTCTTCGTGAGCTTATCGTCGCGCTCTTCGTGAGCTTATCGTCACCTCCTCTCGAAGTTTCTTTGAAAGGTTTACTGATTCCGGAGGAGGGATCTGTTTCCTTTATTACTAAACAAAGAACTTTGAAGGAGGCTTATCTTGCCTCTTAAGCTTATCATCATTTATAATTATCTTCACATATTAATTACTTTACACTTTTTAGAGAAAAATCATTGTGTTGGATGTGGAAAACAAGATCACAGTGTATTCTTTAGTGGGAATATTCAAGATCTAAAGAACTCGGACATTGACGAATGGATTCGATCATATTCACCAAATATGACTCATATAGTTCGGGAAGAAAATACCGGGTAAGTAAAAATTGTTTTTTTCTTTCTTTTGTATTTAACTTATAAAGCTAATGAAGTTGGTTTCTTTTCAGTTATGGATTAGTCCACTTCAAATCATGTTCAGAAGCCGGTTTATTCTTTCGTGAAATGTATGATACAAGATTTACTGGGCCATTCAATACTACAATTAAGTTTAGTGCCGCCAAAAAATTCAGGAGCAATGAGTTCGTCCAGTATGCTGAAGATGTAAGAGTACTTTTAATCTTTTTATCTTTAATTAATTATCGTTATAAATTTATTATTAACTAATTTATAATACTCTCAGGTTATAGAAGATGTAGTTTCATCCGGAGTTCCAGTAAATACTTAAAAGCTTTTAGTCTTGTTTATGCAATAAAATCAACATTAATAAAAATTTTTTTAATTAAAAGCTGGTAGCTGTCACAGAAGACAACGAAAATAGCGAAAATAACGAAAATATGGAATCGTCTTGGAAGCCTACAACCGATTTCTACGTGACAAAGGAAAGTTTTATTATAAATATGGAGTTACCGGTATGCATTTTTGTCAAAATAAATCTTTTTTCATATTTACAAAATATTTTAATCAAATGTATTGAAATTTTTTGTAGGGGCTAAAAAAAGAAGATATCAATGTTAATTTATGTAATAATCAACTCGTCATTTCTGGCGACATGAAGAGGGCTCAACTTTCAGGCGGTTCATACAAAATTAATGAGCGTCATGTTGGACCCTTTACTCGTAAAATTACTTTAACTTCAAGCATAAGCGATGATAATATTACCGCTACGTTTGAAAATGGGCTTCTCAAATTGAACCTTTTTAAGTCCTTACCCGCGACTAAGAAAATCGATATAATCTGATCCGGCTTCAATCTTTAATACCCTTTATTGGTCATTTTTTTTTTTATTTTCGCTTTTTATTTAGTAAAAACTTCATTTGGAAAGTTTTTAGGAATCAATTAAGACGGTTCTTTTTAATTTCTCTTATACTTTCTTTTTTTTTCTCTTGTATCTTTCGTTTATTTTATCGTTTGTCAAGAAAAGAAGAAACTTTATTTGCTTTATCTGAGCTTGATCAATGAAATCACTTTTATCTTTTACTTTAGTTAAAAGAGCTTTTACATCAGCCTTTTTCAACTTATCTCCTTTTAAGGCAGTCTTTTATTTTTTCAACTGTCAGTAATAAAAGTAGCATCATTTAAAGAACTGTCAATATCTTTTACTGCTCAAAAATGTAAAAACGAACACAGTAATAAATTTTAAAATTTTTGAATATTGATGTGGAGTTGTATGGTTAATAAAAAAGTGGTCTCACGGGGTAAAAATGCATTTTTAAATAAATCGCAGCATATTGTTGAATGCGCTGCGCTTACTGCGCATGTCCAATTTTATAGTATATAAATTTATTAGTCGGATTAGATAATTTGCGTTTCTGAATCTTTCTCAGATCTTGATTTGCAAGTATACATCAAAAAATGTTTTCAGTTACAAAAGACTTTATGAATAAAGATGCTCCTCCAAACTATGTTGCCGGTTTAGGTAGAGGGTAGGTTATCTCAGTATGAAAATATCTTCAACATAAATATTCACCTAACGTGTTTACGTTTTTTTTGGTTTTTTTTTTTTTTTTACAGTGCAACAGGTTTTACAACGCGATCTGATATCGGTCCCGCAAGAGAAGGACCGGCTGATTTCAGGTATTTATAATTTATTCATTTTTCTTATTTCATATTTTTAATTAATTCATACCGCTATTGCTACAAAATCCTCCGTTATTTCATAAGAACCCCAAAAATGGGTTATGCATTAGAGAACGAAAAGGGATTACATATATATTATGTTGTGGTACGTAATTTTTATTAAAGAATGAGATTTTTTTGCTAATTCAAATAATATTATTTAATTATTTTTGTTACAATAGTGATGCGTTACAAAAGAAAGCACAAGAAGATGATGATGATGATGAACGTTTTCAAGATCCAGATAATGAAACTGGACTTTTTGCTTCGGCTCCTTATGAAGAAGATGATGAAGAAGCTGACAAAATTTATGAGGCTATTGATCAAAAAATGGATGAAAGGAGGAAAGCTAGACGTGAAGCTCGTGAAAAAGAAGAGTTGGAAAAATATCGTGCCGAACGTCCTAAAATTCAACAACAATTTGCTGACCTTAAACGTGGTCTTGCTGCTGTTACCGATGATGAATGGGCAAATCTTCCTGACGTTGGTGATCTTGTCGGAAAAAATAGAAAGAAAACTAATTTAAGAGAAAGATATTATGCCATACCTGACTCTTTGTTGGAAAAGGCTAGGGAAGAAAACAAATATGTTACTACATTAGATGCACAACAACAGGTAATGAATAATACATTCAAATTTCTCTACTTATGATAATAGTAATAATATATTTTAAATTTAATTTATTATAGAAATTTGGAGGTTTTCAAACACCTGCACCAGATTCTGGGATGATGACAAACTTTATAGAAATTGGGCAGGCAAGAGATAAAGTATTAAGTTTGAAATTGGATCAAATTTCTGATTCTGTTAGCGGTCAGACTACGGTGGACCCAAAAGGATATTTGACGGACTTGAATAGCGTGGTCATTAAAAGTGATGCTGAAATAGGGTATATATATTATATATATATATATATATATATTTTGAATAATTTATTGAAGCTTTGTTAATAGATTATTTATTAAAAAATTTTAATATTTTGTATATTTAAAATTTACACTTAGCGATATCAAAAAAGCTCGATTGTTGCTTAACTCAGTTATTTCAACTAATCCAAAACACGCTCCAGGTTGGATTGCGGCAGCGCGTTTAGAAGAAGTTGCTGGCAAATTAGCTCAGGCCAGAACGATAATTGCCAAAGGATGTGAAGAGTGTCCGAAAAATGAAGATGTTTGGCTAGAAGCAGCTAGATTAAATAATGCTGATAACGGAAGAACAATTTTGGCTAATGCCGTTAGGCATCTTCCACAATCGGTTAAAATTTGGTTGCAATCAGTGAAATTAGAAACCGATCTTAAAGCTCAAAGAAAGGTTTTGAGAAGAGGTAATTAATTAATAAATAAGTCGTTCAACATGAAATATATGATTAACGCGAAAATGTATTATTTATTTTTATGAAGCTCTTGAATTTGTACCAAATTCTGTGAAACTTTGGAAAGCAGCGGTCAATATGGAAGAAAATCCATCGGACGCACGTATCCTGTTAGCACGTGCTACCGAGTTAGTTCCCCTTTCTGTTGATCTATGGCTTGCTCTTGCACGACTTGAGAGTTACGACAATGCAAAAAAAGTTCTTAATAAAGCACGTTATCAAATTCCTACTTCACATGAAATCTGGATTGCAGCTGCTCGTCTCGAAGAACAACAAGGTAATGAGAAGATGACTGATAAGATTATTGCCAAAGCTGTTACAGTCCTCTCTGAAAAGGGTAGTGTGTTAGGACGCGATCAATGGTTACAAGAAGCAGAAAAATGCGAAAGAGAAGGTAGCGTTGGTACTTGTCAAGCCATAGTAAGAAATACTATTGGTATGGGAGTTGAGGAGCAAGATAAGAAAACCATATGGTTAGAAGATGCGGAGAGTTGTATTTCACATGGTTCCATTGAAACAGCTCGTGCTATTTATGCACAAGCTTTAAAAACATTCCCTGGTAAAAAATCAATATGGCGTAGAGCTGCATTTTTAGAAAAATCACATGGAACTAGAGATTCATTGGAAGAATTATTACAGCGTGCAGTTAGATTTTGCCCTCAAGCTGAAGTGCTTTGGCTTATGGGAGCTAAAGAAAAATGGCTTGCAGGCGATGTTAACGGAGCTCGATTTATTTTAACTGAAGCTTTTAGAGCGAATCCAAATAGTGAACAAATTTGGTTAGCTGCTGTTAAATTGGAAGCTGAAAATGGAGAATATGAACGTGCAAGAATGTTATTGCAAAAAGCAAGAGATCAGGCTGGTACAGAGAAAGTATGGATGAAATCAATAGTTTTAGAGCGTCAGCTTAATAAGATTATGGAAGCTATAGTTATGTTAGATGAAGCTCTGAACCGATATCCTACATTTGATAAATTATGGATGATTAAGGGTCAAATTGAGGATGAAAAAGGTGATATATCTAAAGCTAGGTTTACCTATGCTAAAGCTGTAAAAAATTGTCCGAAATCTATACCTTTGTGGATATTGGCTTCTAGGCTAGAAGAGAAAGCAGGCCTTTTAATTAGGGCTAGAGCTACTCTGGAAACAGGTCGCTTATTGAATCCTAAAACGCCTGAATTATGGTAAATATTCTTTAAATATTTTATTTTTAGAGTTATTATTTAGTATACTAAATATAAATACCTTTCTATAGGTGCGAAGCAATTCGTGTGGAATTGAGAGGGAACAATATCAATATGGCAAAGGTTTTATTGGCAAAGGGTAATTAATTAATTATAATCACCATCAGCTGTTTGAATTATATATTTATTCATGATAAAATAATTTATTCCCACCTTTATATTTATAATAATAGCTTTACAAGAATGTCCTAGTTCAGGATTATTATGGTCAGAGGCGATATTTATGGAGACTCGTCCACAACGTAAAACGAAATCTGTTGATGCGCTTAAAAAATGCGATAATGATCCCATAGTTATTGCAACAGTAGCGAGATTATTTTGGTCCGAACGTAAAGTGGATAAAGCTAGAACTTGGTTTGAGAAAGCAGTAAAAGTTGATCCAGATCGAGGAGATTCGTGGGCATGGTATTATAAGTTTGAATGTCAACATGGAACTGAGGTAAAATAATAAATATCTTTTGATTCCTATAATAATTTTTTTATTTAAATTTGTCATTTTAAATTTTTTTTTTTTTTCTTTTATTAACAGCAACATCAGCAAGATGTAATTACAAGATGTGTAATAGCAGAACCTCATCATGGCGAACAGTGGCAAATTGTTGCAAAAGATATGAAAAATGTTGGCAAGAATACTGAAGAAATCCTTAAATTAGTTGCTAATGATCTTGTTTAATTTTGTATTCTTTTAAGACATGTAATCTATCTATAACAAGATATAGAGTATTGGACAAAAAGTTAATGATGATCCTATTTATTATAAGTTAAAGAATGATGATTAGTATACATTTTTACAAAGTTGATTAAATTAGTTAAATCAAGTCGAAAAAAAAATTACATAATTTTCCTCAGCAAACAAAGGCGGAGGAATATTCCTTTCCCATTTTGAACCATCTGGTGCAGTTGGATCTAAATAAATAAATAATATTAATAAATAAAAAACAATAAATAAAAAAAAAAAAAAAAATTCATATTAAAAGTCAGTTACATTTATAGGGATCAGGATGACTATAATTTTCAAGTTCTTTTTCAGTGTCGAGTAAAATTTTACGTAATTCTTGTAAGGAAGCAACATTTCTATTTGCTTCAAAACGAGCACGAATTTCTAAAGCTACAGGACGCCATGCAGAACGATCTACATACCAATCTAAAGCCGTTCTTAGGGAACGTCTATATAAAGAAGTTACATATTGTTTATGAACAACAGGAAAAGCTGGTTGTAACATTGTAAAAAACTAAGGGAGGAAAATTTGAAAAGTTGTAGGCTTTTGTGTTAATCACATGAATCTGTAATTCAGATGCTGTACATAATTGGTTAGAAGGACTGATAGTTATTTTTTATTAAAAAAAAAAAAATCGGACAATTTTTACGCTTGCGATTTGTATATTTACAATGTTAGATAAAAATGCAAATGCAGCAAGGATATCATCATCATCATTACATATCAATATAAAGGCAGAAGTATTTAACACCAAAACGAATTGTTTAATAAAGTCATGGGAGGAATCATCAATAAGACCATACATATTAAAGTATTCTAAGCAAAGAGCATTAATATTTATCGTAATTTTAATATTAATTATATTTTATTATAATAGTGGAAGTAGTAAAGAAGATAGGAATAAAAAGAATGAAATAGGAATAATACAGGATGTGGACATGTTAACTGATATTATACCAACAGAAGGAGATGGAGAGAGCACAGCTATATTATTGAATTGGAATAGATTAGATAACATTAAAATTATTGTAAAACATTTGTGTCAATATTCCATATTTAAAGAAATTTTTATATGGAATAATAATAATGATATACATTTATCAGATCCAGTTAAGTAGAATTTAATTATTTTGTAATTTTTTTTTTCCTTGAAGTAATTCAAAAGTTATTAATGTTTCCTAATATATATTAGATGTTTGTTGATGCGCATTGTAATAAGATAAGATATTATAATTCACCAGGGAATATGTATTTTATAGCAAGATATTTAGCATGCTCAATGGCAACGACAAAATATTGTTACTTTCAAGATGATGACTGGATAAATAAATATTTAAGGTCTATGTATAGTAATTTTTTAAGGTTCCCCAATTTAATACATACTGACACAAATTCGGATGTTTATTCTTTAACGAATTGGAAGTGGTGTTTTTTCAACGAGGGTAATCATTAACTTTTATTATCTATTCATCCACTTTGTCTTTTTTTTTAAAAAAACTTTAACAAAAAATACCGATATTTGATATTATGTAGATGTTAATTTACATTCATGTTTTTCATGGGTTGGTACAGGAGCATTTACTACTAGAGAGAATGTAATAAAATTTTTAAAAATGACAAGTGAAACAGAAATGAGCTCGTTAGAATTTAGATATGGTGACACTTATTTTACTACGTACATGAATCAAGTACCTTATCAATTAGAAAATCCTTTATTTGAATTACCACAAGAAAATGGTTTCAGTTCAACCGGTGAAGGTAGAATACGTAATAAATTATACATGCATCAAGCATTAATTAGATTATATAATCATTTATCTTTACGTGTTAATCTTACAACGGAAATCACAAAAGAATTTTCACCGACTTTATACGAAAGAGATGTTAGATCCCCTTGTCATAATGATAAATGTTTATTCTTAACGAATAAACATAGTTTTCCTAGTATAAGATCATTTAAATATCTCCCTTATATAAATATTAGTGAAAGTGAACGTTTGCATTCTAGTTTTTTTAATACTCATCATTTCATATCCCATCCTTATTCTAATGCTGTTGATCATGATAATTTTACTACCTGGATTTCTCAGGATGGTACAGTATCTTTGACTCTTATTTATATCTAATTGAGAATTTAGGATTAAAAGGATAACTAAAAAAAAATGAAATATTATTTTATAGTTATTAAAAAAGACGACTATATTGGATTAGATTTATTATTACCTATGCCGGTACCACTTACCTTTAATTTAATTATTGATCATGATCGAGATTATTTTAATCATCTATCTATACAAATTTCTCATGATGGTTCTGAATGGGTAAGTGATAATTTTTCTTTTCTCTTGATTAAATTAAATTTTTATATCTATTTAATTATTTCTCCGTTCCTCGATAATCAATAGATTCAACTATCTCCTTTACCTAAATTAGAAATTAATGATTTATCTACATCATTTACCAAGAATAATTTATTATCATGTAAATTTCTTGTACGTGAAACTGGTTTTAGATTTTTAAAATTAGTTAGTACAAAAGATTGGAACTTTACCTTCTCTATTTATGATTTTACTTTTAATGGTCATATGGATGAAAATAATTTGGTTGTTAATGAAGTTAGTTTAGGGGATGATAATGATGAAAATGATTAATATTTGTAGTAATCTACATATATATTTTAATAGATGGTTAACGTTAATCTTTTTTTGATATAAAATTAAAAAATTAAATAAATAGCCAAGAAAGAGATGATCTTCTGAGCGCGTCATTTGATTGCATTTCGCATATTAAATTTGTACCTTTCATAAATTTATCATAAAACAAAAAGAAAATGATACAAATATTTGGAAATGAAGACGATGCATATTCATTAAATGATAGTTTTGACGAAAAAGAAAGTAATGTAGAAAAATGGGAATTTGTATGCGTCTCTTTTTTTTTATAAAAAAAAAAAGGTTCAATTCAATATCAGGTATTAACATAACTTTTTGTATAGATTGATTCGTGGTTAAAAAGTCATTTTAAAGATAAGACTATACCGCTTTTTGAGAGAAACCATGAAGTTGCTTCGGCTTTATATGAACTGGCACTTTTTAACAAACAACAAGATGCTATGACCGAAATTATAATTAACCGACAAAAAGCTCAAGCAGTGGAATATCGTGCCGAAGGTTTTATATATACACACACATTACTGTGTTCATATACGTTTGATATGATTTTTAACGCGTCTTTTTCGAACCAAAAAAAAAAACAAAGCTAAACGCATAAAGGAAATTTTGGATACCGTGGGAATATCAAAAGTCGATTTATCCAAGAATGGCGCGCAAGCATTAAAAACGTTATCTTCTTTAGCTACAATTTTGGGTTTAGCTGATACTGAACGGAGCAGGTATTTTCTTTTTTCCTTTTTTTTTTTCTTTTATTTTAATTCAACTTAACAATGAAAAATTTTCTAGTTATCTTTCAGCATTGGCGCAATTGAATCTGGATACTTTACGCGTGGAGCGTAAAAATAATGTTATTGTTCGTAGCACAGATTCCATGGAAACTCAAATCCAAGCTGCTAAATTAAGAAATGAAAAATTAAACACGTTTGTTATATTCTTTATTTTATTTACAATTCTTAATTAATTAAGCCGAATAAAATTTTATTATATTTATTTTAGACTGTTATCTAATTTACGGTGTCGTTGGAATTCGAAAGAACAACAGAAACTTCAAGAATGGAAAAAGAATACACAATTGTTATCGGAGAAAGGAAAAGAATACCAAAACAGATTGTCTATATTGGAGGTGGTTATAAAAGCATGAATTCAACTCGAACGTATTCTATAGTTATAATATATTTTTTTAATATTAATTCTATAATATAGAGAAAATATAATGATATGAACGTAAAAGAAGGTGGATTACGATTTAAAGATTTGAAAGAAAAAGAGGATAATGTAAATGCTTTGGATCATGAAATTCGGTCGAAAACATCAAAATTAAAAACATATAAAATTATGCCCGCGGTAATTGCGCGTTTTAAAAATTTAACCTTTGTATCTTTCATTGATCTATATTTAATCCGTCAATTTTTTTTCAATTATAAATGTCAGAATCTGACATTAGCCAAATTAAAATTGGAAGAGGCTAAACAGGAACTAGTAAGTAAAATAGGTAATCACCTTATTCATCATACACTACTAATTTCTTATTATCTAAAAGGATGAACTAAAGGAAACTCATGATGAATTAATATATAACATGGCCGGGAATTTTCAGTAGCGATATTTGGTATATATATGCTTGGATCATATATATTTTTATGATAATAAAACACGGAATTTTTAAAGAAAATCACTTCTATTCAATAAAAAGCTGTCATGATTTTTTTTTTTATAACTTACTATTTTATAAGGTTTCGTGCTTTATACATACAGTATATTTCGTAAGTTAAAGAATAAATGAATAGACATAGAAAAGCTTAGACGTTTACATCTATCTATAGGCTAAAAGAAACAAAATTTTACATTATAAAATTGAAAAATAATCATTTTATTGAATAAATTTTTCAAATGAACCAATTTTAATAACAAATTAATAACTATTTATTTAAATATAAATAAATAGTTAATTTTTTTCTTTCTATTGAACATATTTTTTAGAATAGAATGAAGAAAATGAATTTATGTTTAAAGTTATTAATGATTTACAACAATTTTCTCTTCTGCTAGTTTTCAAAGTTTGAAAAAGCACAGTTGAATTTTGTTTTAATAGATCAATTTATTAGTTTTTCTAATAATAAAAAAAAAGTTAATGATCAAAAAAATAGAAAATCTTTTAATTATCACTTTAATTCTAAAATTTAGATAGTATCTTAAAAAGTAGTTAAAAATCATTTATTAATTTAAAGATAAACAGAATAACCATATAATAGATATATATAATAACATTTAAAATGTGATGCATATTAACTTGTAATGTATATTTTACATTTTATACTTAATTGCTTTTTATTAAAATAATTAAAAAATTACTTTTATGAATAAAAATTTTATTTTAAACAATATTTCCATATTCAGCAATTTGATTTAATTTTTAGGATCTACAGATTCGTGCAATGCAAATAAAAATGTGTTTATATATTAAAAAATATTTTATTATTTTATTGATTATTATTAAATTTAATATTTCAATAGAATTTTTTGAGAATAAACTATATCTATTATCTAAAATTCTTTTATAATTAAAAAATTGCACTTAACATCAATTCTTGAAATAGGTAATCATATATTAACTAATACTATGCTTAATAAATTTGAAAGAATTATTTGTTTTCTTGTCAATATTAATTTAAAATTCAAATCACCTTCTTAAAAATTTTTATCAAATCACAATAAATTGCCCATTTAGTTATAATAGAATTAGAAGGATTTTAAAATTCTGAAATTAGATTATAATTAGTTAAAAAGTAATTTATTTATCACAGAAAGCAATACTCCTAATACATCACTTTTATATATGGAGCCTTTGCAATAGAAAGGAAGGAAACTCAAAAAAAAATAAAAAAATGAGTTAATAATAAATCTGAACAAATTATAGTATTTGAAACATTTTTAGCTTATAAACTAAAATTTTAATT